GAGAGGAAGGAAGGAAGGAAAGAGAACAAATAGCATTTTTTGCTGTACTTATTTAATAGCAAATAATAATTATCCATTTTGTCGGGATCTTTTATTTTCTGAATTATTCAGCTCTCATTATGATAAGATTGATCGATTGAAAAAATGTTAACTGTTTTATGGCATGCTGTACTTTTTTTACTTTTTTTATCTTAGGTATCTGTATTGTCTGAACAAGTCGGGGCGCAGAAGGAAAAGATTCGAGATTTAGAGAATATGTTGGCTTCTAAGAAGAAAAAGATTGGCTCTGAAGGAATACTTAACGAGGTAAAATGTTGGTTTTTGGTTACCAGAAATGCTTAAGAATTCAACCAGTCATTAAAGGCCAAGAAATGATTGATGGTAATTGAAAGAAACGCTGATGAAGTCATTGGTGCATCGATTCACCTTTTATGCATAAGCATAATATATTTATAAACTAAAAATTTTAACTGTAATTTTGTTTGGGAGGAGAGAAGGTTAAAAAACATTCGCCTGTTTTATAGCGCTTATACTTTTATTCACCAATGTATTTTGACAAATTCTTAGATGCTTTATTGCAATTCTTTAAACTTATGATACTGTTTGGCAACTGAACAGTTTAATTTTGACAAAAAAACATTGTCTGTCAAAAAAGCAACAGACAACTAACTGCTTATACAGTAAAGTTTCTACGGGATAACTAAAATTTTATTCTAGAATTTTTAAAAAATTAGTATTTATTAGTGCATATTGCCGTGTCGGTTAGTTGTACAAATTTCTTTTCAGGCTTTACTGGAACTTATGCAAAAATTTCTGTTGATTTTGTCGTTTTTTTTTATTTGATTTACTACTTATGTTCTTACCAACGTATTGATACTAAATTTTTCAGTTAATTGAGAATGGTGACGATTGTGATAGCGCAAAGCTTGATTTAAAAGCTGAAGTAACTAAGTTAAAACTGAAATGTGCGCAGTTAGAACGAGATAAATTTGAGACAGAGAAAAAATTGCGGACTTCACAGGTGAGTTTTAATAATTGTTGTATGTTGTTTTGGGATAGGAAAATTTATAGAAATGATTGAACAGAACACAAAAAAATTTAAAAAACTTGTTTTTTCATTAATATACAGCTGCAATGGCGATGATCAGTAAACATTAAGAGTAATTATTCACAAGAAGACTCCATTAAGTTTTAACTTTTAACGCACATTCAGCAATTTTTTATTTTTTGTAACTATTTACAATAATTTCTAGACGGTGCTTTTCAATTTTTTCTGTTTTTTTAGTTTAACCGTTGTGTGATGTTAGTTTTTGCTGGTAAGACTGTTTGGTATAGAACTTTTATTTTTGAAATAGATGATAAAAATGTGAAAAATTGTATGCAGATATCATGACCGTAGGAATGAAATTTGTAACTTGGATTTTTTTGAAACTATATGGACGAGTGCAATGAATTTTGAAGCACAGAAGGCAGTTTTAACTGCTTTTATACTTCAGTTTAATGTTGTCTTTTTTTTTCAGTCGGAAATCGAGCATCTGAGTCAGTGTATGCAGGAATTCCTGATGCAGCGTAGTGTTTTCCCGCAACAGGCCACATCTTCGGCTGTACATTCACCAAATCAGTGTTCAGCAGCATTACAGCATAATTATTACAACGAATCAAACCAAAGCAATACTGATCCGGGTAAAAAAAAAACTAAATTGGAAGAACATTTTTTCCGATTTAACCTTTTCTGATTAGAAGTTTTTTGTCGGTTTCTTGAGTTTGAAGTGGTGGCCACCTGTAATCAGCCGTTTGAGATGAATCTATTCAATTATATATGTTAAGCATAGTTGAACCACTAATAAAGTCAACGTTTGTAGAGCATAAATCTGCTTTGAAGCGTTTAATGAAGCCCGAAATCGTTTCCGTAATCAACATTTTCTGTGTAATTGATAACATATCAAATGTAAAGCAATTAAAGAGAATAACCAAAAACGATGCATTTTATTTTCAGCAGTAGAAATGGAACAGTTGCGATTAGCTGTACAAAAATTAATTGTGGATAATGAACAAAAGGTTTGTTTTGTAGCTCTAGTTTTACTTTTTCTAGATTATTGCTCGTTTTGTTTTTTAAGATAACTTAAATAAGCTCTACATATAACTTTAAAAGAAAAAAATGATCTTTAAGAACAATCTACTAATTTTTGAAGTTTATTTTTCTTTTTAGAATATTCAAATAAACTCACTAAGAAATGCCCTTGATGAACATTGTTGTGCAACGGGGTCAAACCGTTTATATGATGGCTCAACGCAGCAGATATCTGCTGATACGATGACTAACTCACCAAGATTTTATAACGAACAAGTGGCTCCACCTTTTGATATTAATGAACAGCTAAGGAAATTGCTCACGGTTAATTGCTTTTCAAAAACTGATTTTCAAATTTTTTAAAGAGATGGTTTTTATTTTGATGTTTAATCACTAGCTCTTACAAACTTTCCGATTCGTTACCGATATCAATTACACAGTACTATAGTGCAATAAATTGTTCTAGTTCTTCCAGTATCAAATAAATTTATGAGTTAGCAGAAGTTTGCGAAATATGCTGCGGATCACGAAATAAAAATTGAATTACAAATTATAATTCTCTGAATCAATGATACAGAGTTTATTATAGGAAGATAATGGAGACTCACCTTCACAGTCGACATCAGTGCGTGGATATTACCCTGTCAGCCAAACATATGTTAGAAACGCACAGGTAAAATGATAGGTCTGATATCGGAAAACAACCTTGTTTCATACTACAAAAATTTTTAAGCCATCATCCTCTTATGCAACATCTATGCGAGGTAATTCGCCACAACAAAACTGGGCCAACTGTGGTGTACGAAACCATTCCCATAGCAAGCTATCGATGCATAGCACTGCTTGTCTACCAATCCCATCTAGCTCCTCAGGACTCTTTTCATCACCAAAGTTGGTTGCCACGTTACTTCTTTCACTCTGATGTTAGAGCAGGTTCTTGTATTTGAGAATCAACATTTTTAGTTATCGCGGTCCGTCATCGCCAGCCGCAGCTAGACAATTAGCAGCCGAGCTTGATGAACTTCGCCGAATTAATGATGAAGTACAGCAGAATTCCTGTTATAATTCTAACAGCCTATTACGATCGCAGAGCTTTGCTAAAGTACAAAATTCATCTGAGCTATATTACTGACTTTTCTGATCCCCTTACCGCTTTTTAACCACTGGAAAAGTAAAGTGAAATTATTTGTCAAATATGCCATAACGGTTCTTATTTCAGTCTTCATCAACTTTTGCATTACAACCGAAGAAGCAATCCGTGGCATCGTCGGGCGGTGTATCGGGTGAGTATACATTGATAGGTGTACCAAGTAAAGGAAGCCTTAGCGTCACATCACAGTTATCATACCGTCAACAAGTGAATAGATGGCTTCAGAATAAATTTTGGCACTCACGATTCAATAAGCGCACAACATCGACACCCAACTTAGGTTTAAGGCGTACTAAAATTTTTGTGCTTTCGAGAAATGCGCTAATTGCTTATATGATTAACGCATGGGTTTTTGTAGCTTAGTATAACTCTGAGAGATTTTTCTGGTGCCATTAACCGAATAATTAAGATGTAATGCACCAGTCACTTGTCATTAATTGCATACTTGGCAGTCTTAACAAGTGAAAGATTTAAGTTTTTTATATATGCATGAGAAATGCAGATTTGCAAGGTTCTTTTATTTAATTTTACAAACTTTTTTTGCTCTTTTTGACAAAGTTATTGTTTGTTTCTAGGCTATTTTAATCATGACGTGCTGAAAAAAAAAGCTTCTAGTTTGAAAGCATTTTTATTTATCGGAATACTGGAATAAGGAAAGATCTAGTTTCTTACAGAAGTTGCGGTTTTTTGTATAGTCTGCTTTTCTTTTTTGGAGGTTTTAAGATGTTGGACAGTATTAATACTTCGTTGTTTATCAAGTTTTTTACTTTTGTTTGCTGATTATTGTTTGATTAGTCACGAATGAAAAGTGTTTTAGGTTTGACCGTTCATATTTTTTATGAGATTGTTTTTTTTTCTTTTTGCCGCTTGCCTTGTTTTTGATTAGCAAAATGTTAAAGGGAATTGGCTAAAAAGAATTGTTCAACTTCTGTTGGGCAGTTCAAACGGTATTGCAGTAGTTTAAGCTGTAAGAGCATTCCTCTGTTCTAAGTTGAACTAATAGCGTTCAGTAATTGCTTACGGTGCGTAAAGTCAGCATGTTAGTAACTAATTTTTCGTTTAGTATCTTAGAAACTCGTATGACAACGCTGTTCGTACTGCAGTAGACAAGTCATCATTATTATTTTGTTCAATCACACCGTCTTTAATTCCTTTAATATGTTCATCGTCTTTGACTGTTGTCACTAATACAGATGCTCGTTGTGAAAACTAATTTGAAATTTTCTTTTATCAAATTAGCCAGATAAAGAAAATCTCAAGCTAGAAGTTTTTAGTGGTTAGCGATGATGAGGTTATGAGGGGAAGGAAGGGACGTGAAACTAAAGAGAATGGAAAGTTCAAGAGGGATCGTACCAGGTATGTAACTGCTTTTTTTAATTTTTTAAAATACGTTTTTTGACATTTACAACACCTTTAGAAGAAGATCAGAATTATTTTATTTCTTTTAGAGTAGGTAGTGCTGTTCAACTGCACACCGTCAAGGGTGAGTGAGTGTGCGCAGTTAGTTGGCGTCTAGAACTGGTTTTTTGGGGGTGTGTAGCAAAGCAAAAAAAATATTTTTTAAAAGTAGGGAAAAATGAGGTTTTATGAGGGTTTTTAAATTTAAAAGCCTTTTTAACTGACGGTTTTTGAATCTTTCTTATTTTTTTTTGTAAACTGTTTTCTAAAGGCATTTTCTCCCAATTTTGTATTTAACTCAAATGGTTCTCAGCTAGACTGAAATTTTTTTGCTGCTTTTAAGTATTAATTTAATTTTGTTGGGAAAGTGAGTGGTGAAGAGTGAAGTTGAAGAAAGTTTACTTTTATAATATACTTAACACTAGGAGTTTAAACAACAGACATTAGAAAAATAATCAGTATAAGTTGGTTAAGGTCATCTCTGAGAAACCTGTTTGGGAAGATAACAAGGAGTACATCAAGGGAAAGTTCACTGCAAGATTCTGACCGGGATCACGTGCCACGGTATGCCATAAGGATGCTTAAGATTGGAGTTTAGACTTTTCCATGTTTTTGGACATATTTTTGTTACATTCACAAAAAAGTGAGTTTGCAACTAATTTAGACCTCTCCCATCTGCCCGTTATCCATCTGCTGGACCAGTATCAGGAGCTATTGCTCAGCGGCCTCCTGCTAATCAGTTTGCTGAATGGAATAATGAGCAGATATGCGAGTGGATGGCAGAGATTGGATTTAGCGTATATGTTCCTCAGGTTGAAGAGTTTGTGAAAAACGGCACTCATTTATTGAACATGACCGATCAGGAGTTTGAAAAGGTTTTATGGAGTTTTTCTGTCTCAGATGAATTACGTTGTGCAATAATTGTGCTTTTTGTTTGTCAGTCATAAAAAGTAGACATTTGTTTTGTTGAAACTATGTTACAAATTTTATTTTTTCAGGACTTGGGCATTAAAAATTCTTTACACCGCAAAAGGTTACGCTGTATTTTAAACACGATTGCGTGCGAAAAACCAGATATTTCAGAAAGGATGGATGTTCATCAAGTTAATATGAAAAATAGTCGTAGTTATAGAGAATGAGTAGAAATTTAAATGTAATTTTAGATAATTATGAGTGAGCTACAAAAATATCAGGTTCTCTTTCTTTATGAATTTCAGAAATATGATAAGAAACCAAAAAGGATAAAAATTTTTAGGTTTTGAGATGGCTGGATGAAATAGGATTACCGCAATATCGAGAAACTTTTGCAGAAAACATGATTGATGGGCAGATGCTAAGTGTTTTAACCGCTCAGGATCTTGTAGACGTATGATTTTATCAGCTGCGCTCTTATGTCATCAAAAATTTTTTTTTCACCTGCGAGGGTGATTCTAAAAAACCTGATGAATTTGTCTTCAAAGAAAATATTTTTTAAGATGTTCAAAAAATTACTTAATTCAGAGGTACTTAGTTAAATTGGTGGTTGAGGTGGGAAAACTACTGCGCTGTGGGTTTTAAAACACGTTCATCATTTTGTACTTTTGATAAAAATGTGATTTTATCAATTGTAGATGAAAATTTTTTCTGCATTACATCATGCCAGTATACGTCGTGGGATTCAGTATCTTCATTCAGTTGATTTTTGTCTGTATCGTTTGGAAAAACGGTTTAATCCTGTAAGTCGACTTATAGTCGTATTGGTATTTTAGGAAGAAACAGTTATAGCATCGGTAAATCAGACTATTAGTTCTTATTTTCAACAACAAGAGGTGTTATTGCAGAATTTAATTGGAAGTAGACCATGCCCTGCTGATGTTGAAGGGTGGTCACATTTGTGCACGTGCCAGTGGCTTAAAACAATAGATTTAGCTGAATTTACACCGAACTTACTTTGCGCAGGTGTAAACGGTGCATTAATGGTAAGGGGTATTAGTAGAATAATGATATGTTTAGATCATCATTATAAATGGGTGTTAATAAATAGATATATTTAGGTTCATGAACCAACGTTTACTGCTGAATCGTTGGCGGAAGTTCTACAAATTCCAATGCATAAAACATTACTAAGGCGGCATCTGACCACTCATTTCAATCAGTTACTTGGACAAGAAATTATCAGCCATAAACGTGAAGTTTTATCGCAACCTTTTCAAGTGCAGTTGACACCGCATTTAAAAGTAAAGGTATGTATCAAAAAGTTAAGTTGGTTTTTTAGACTGGGAAAAGCTGACACGTTCTTGTCATTTTATCGGTCGTCTGTTTTCAGTTTCTTAGGAAAGGGTTCTCTTTATCGCGTAAGAGAGGAAAGAATGAGGTATATGTTGAGCCAGACGAACCACTATGTCCCCCTCTAGGATTCAAGTCTCGGGTTAGTCATTGAGCATTCTTCAAGCTCTTTCAAACTTCTTTTTCGTCTAATTACCATTCTCAAACAGTGCCCCCGAGGAAAATTCTTAGCTTAGAAAACTCACTGGAATAGATTTGTAAAGGCATCTTTCATTCCAGCTTTCCGAAGTAATGGCCGATTCTTTAACGTCATCCAACGTCTAAATTAAAGATAAATCTCTCTAAAGTACTGCTGTCATTATTATACCAGAAAACAGATATATGAATAGATTGTTATGCTGTCATGTCTGAGATGCCTTAATCACCGAAGTGCAAGTTGTGAAACAACATTTCATAATAATGTGATATAACCTGTTTATGCTGTAAACTATGTTTTTTATTGTTTTAAGTATATTTGCGGTATAAAAGAGGAATAATCAAACGAACTGAGAAAAACAATACTGCTTTTCACTGACCCAACTTCCAATAAACGAAGAAAAGATAATTGTCGATATTGGCGAGATACGGAACAACTTGAAGTCATTTAGAAAATTTGCTTATTCTTCTTTTATGGGCAGTTAGTGATTTCCGAGAAGTTCTCAACTACGAAAATTCAGATGTTGCCTTTTTTAGTCTAGTTTTTTTCGTCAATTGGTATCATTCAATTGTACATGTTTTTTTGTTTTAATGGTATTTTGCTGTTAAAAGTTTCTTAGTTGGTTTGTGCGGCATACAAGTTATATTGTTAATTGCTTCAGTGTTCTCACTGTCGCTTTTTTTTGGTTTCAAGACTTCTCATTTCCATTTATTCTATTACAAAGCAAACGAGATCCGTCAGATTTAGAATCACTCGCCATATGCGGCTGATGCGTTTTACACATGACCCATTCTGAAAAACCAAATACTGAGAAGGGAGAGTAAAGAGAGTTGATTAAGCATTCACGTAAAGGCTGAAAAGGTCGCTTTGAATTAGCAAATTGGACTGCAAACATCAGCATACGGTTAACATTCTTCTTCAGAGGAGTGGTGCCGGAAAAATTTACTAATTGTTCTTGACTAAAATTAGACTTACGGAACTTTATATCTTATAGCTTTGCAAAGCTTTATGTTAGAGAATTTTTGTCACGTGTACATTTAACACGATCCACAGCCGTCATTGAGCACATGAGTTGCTGTTATATGGGGCAGACTAATCCCTCCTTTTACAATAAGTTGATGGGAAGGAAACACTAAGTATTGTACTCCGCTTAGCTGAGAATAGAAGAGAAAGTTGAAGACGAAGCAAGCAGGAAAAAAGGTTTGAAAGAATATGATTTTTTTTAATCAATTAAAACATTAGTGTGTAAAACTTCATTTGGGATCTTAACAGCGTTAGTTTCACGAATTATAGCCGAGGTAGAGCAAAACTATCAGACACTAAAACTGCTCTAGCAGACTATAAATTAGCGTTTGATTTATACAGAGGACTTTCTTGAAACTTGCAAATTGTTTACTTTGGTATATAACAAACTACACTGTGGCGTACAAATTGTGCCGAGCAACTTAATTTACGGTGCATTCAAGTACTGCTTTTCTTTTGGACATCGCAATGCATTGATCTCGCAATGCTCAAAGGAATGTCCCACGCAGAATTAGTCTATTTTTTAAAAACTTTCACCAGGAAAACTACTTCTCTTCTTTTCCTACTCCGTAGCTGATGGTCAAAAACAAAGAAATGGCCAGAATTTTTTTTAGAATTTTCAGGAAAACCCTAAAATCCAAGAGCATTAATTGGTTAGGCCAATAAAACGTCTACTTTCTGATGAGAAGTTGGATTCGTCTACCTTCATACCCCTCCTCACTCCTGCAAACACCCGGGCACATTTTTACTAAATTTCAGCAAATGCCAAATTAACTTTTCAATATTTTTTGCTCAGATCATGTCGCATAAGTTTTCGATCCCTGTTTTTCAAATCAGAGTTTTTCACCATAACTGCTGATTCCTTGCAAGCAAGAAGTTTATATAAAGTTTTTAAAAAGACAGGATACAGTAAAATGGCAAAATTTGTCGTACGGAACGGATTAAACGTTAATTGCAGTAATACTGCAGAAACTCCGTGTCTGTCATCTTGTGCTTTTTTGAAGTCACACCACTGACGAACAACAGAAAGTTGTCAGTATTTACTTGTGGCATCACGTATTTGACGTTTAGAGCCTTCGCAGCGTTTCGTAATGGACGTGTAAAAGGCAGATTTCTAGCTGTAGCGCAAAATGTTTATTGTTCTTATTCGTTTCTTATTGCAAAATCTCGAAAGTTAAAAGACAAGGTTGCTTGAAACGCGGTTTTAAACTTGGTTACCATCTAGCTGAAAGCTAATAAAGCAAAAACGGAAAAGCCATCACTGTCTGATTCTCCAAAGAACATGCACTTCCTTGCTCCTAACTTCAAAGGTCTACCGTTATTCCGCAAGGGCAACAGGAAGTAATATATCGGTTAAGTGCGAAACTTTGGAGTCCTTTGTAGCCATCAGTACTTGCACATTAAACATGTATTCTTATAAAGACACTTATATAGTCATTTAAGAGAGTTTGTTTTATTCTCCCAAATCCGTTTTTTGATAGGCGTTTAAAAATATGTTAAATAAGTCCATAACAAGATTTTCATATCAACCCGGTGTAAACCATTGTTTAAAATCGTGTTGCGTCTATTACCTGTAAATTTTATTTGCTAGAAAGACCTCACGTATAACTGAGTATGTATCATGTTGCTGCAAAGGCTTGAAAGGCACCAGCGCTTTTTGCATTAGAGCGGCATAAACGCTTTTTAAAGAAGACTAAACTTACTTAGAAATCTTTTTTTTTCAATCTTTTTCTAAGCAAATGTGAAGGTGATTTGAAAACGTAATAAAGTAATCAAATGGATAAAGTTTAAATGTTAAAATGAGAAAATAATTATAGAACATTTCAGAGTTTAAACGGTTAAAAGTTAGGTTTCATTTGATAATTTATGTTGTTGGTAAACTAGAAAAAAAGTGCTTCAACAATGATTCAATTTTTAACTGTATAAAACAACGGCTAAAATTCTTTATTACCACAAAACGGCCATAAGTCTTGACCAAAGAAAATTTTCCAAAAACGTGAACGTTTTTCAGTTTTACAGCAGCACAAATCATAATAAGGGAAAGTTTACGATCTATATAAAAGCTTACGTTTGTAATCTGCTATCTATAATTAAAATGTATAATTTTTCCTTGGAATGTTCTTTGCACTTGGAAGAATGGACGCAAAATCACTCACAGAACGCTTTAAGTTAATCACTTGAAAAAAAAAAAAAACGAAGAAAACAGTCAAACGAAACATATTAATATTAGGAATACAAAATCTGACCCTGTTTTAAGGCGATCTAACCCAATTAAATCGTCCCACATCAAAATTTGTGGTTTGCCAGTATAACATTCACAATGCCAAATTGACGTATTATAGCGGTATTTTCCGCTTTACCAATTTGTTTCCATTTTTCCGAAACGTTTAAGGGTAAAAAAAATTTGGAAAACTGATTTGGTCGTGGCTTTCAGTAGTACATAGGTGTTTCAATAAATATCCTACTTCAACAACGTTGTATTTCAGATTGTTGAGGGTGATTATTGGTTAGCGCTTTTATCTACAATTCGACTTCTCAGTCATCTTCTTTTTACATCTACTTCTTAGAGCCACTTTTAACTCGACTTACAGTCTAATTGCTTGTTTTCTTACTGCCATCTAGAACTCTCTTACAGCAAATATCATAGTACTTTTTTGAACTTCAACTCTACAGATAACTTTGTAAATTAACGCTACTGATTTTAAACTGTTTTTATTGATTTTATTTTGTATTCGTCTTTTTTATATTTGTTATTTTTGTTTGTTCACTGCTTTCTTGGCTTTGAATAGTTTCAGATCCATACTTTTCTGTTTCACTTGTAGCAGAAAACGGGAAAATATGCTTCAAACAATCTTACTATACTCGATGCTGGTTTCGCAAAGTTTGGGCAACGATAATTCGCCAGAAATATTGATGACAAAACGTGTTCTTTCTACATTACCGCAGATTCCAAAAGTAATTAGAAGTCAATTGGAAGGAAAATCAGACGGAATAAAGTGTGTTTCTGAAACACTTACGAAAATGACCCAACATTTATTGTAGAACCGCCCTAAAAATTTTTCAAAATAGCTTCAAAGTACACTGACATTTGTGCTTATGTTTAGAGTCTCAGTGTTCTGTTTCTCATTCTTAGTTTTTTGTGTAGACTATCAGTAAGGTATTGCCTTGAAGGGAAATGGTAAATACTGTATTGGGTGATGGTCTGCTTAGCAAACTGGTTGCGAGTCCGATGCAGGTATGTTTTTTATCTTTTTAATAAGTTTCTGAATTAAAACTATGATAAATACAAATTACTGCTGACAGATTAGCGTGTATTATTGCATTCTAATATATCACGCGAACAGCGAGCAAACTTCAGGCTTTTGGACTTGGTGATTCCGAAGAACGAGCAACTGAAAATGCTCGTCCACGTTCTCAATCAAAGTGTGAGTTGTCTTTGTTGCAAGAAACTTTTCAGCTGCAGTTTCACCATACAAATTGAAACTGCTATATGGGATTTTAAAAATATTGAAGCAAGTAATGGGCTTGCTTTCAAACAGTGTAATTAATTTTCATGTTTTCATGACGCTAGAAATGATTGTTTACAGTGGATGGCCCAAACACACTAGACACGCAACCTGCAAGTGGTAACGGTGAAAAAATTTACAGCAGTAACGCCAACAAGAAGTACTTATTTTGCTTTGTGTAAAAAATTCCTTGTCAAATATCCTGTTTTTAACACTATAGATTTGCTTTATCATGCTTCTTTCAAGGCAAAAAAGTAAAACTGGTTTACAAATGGAAATAATTTTTAAAATAAGTGCTTAGTAAGGCCTTTTTTATCAAATTGCGAGTTGCAGGAAAGGAAAGCCAGACTTAAAAGAACTATTAGAAAATGGTGACGAACAATTATTTGTAGACGGGAGGCCGGTTAAGAACGAAAAAACGCTTATTGAGGTACTTTAGTTAATTATCAGTCTAGAAGTGTTCAAACAAAGATCTGTATATTCCAATAGAAAGATGAAAGGTTTTTTCTGTAACAGTTATGAAAAATTAGCGTTTAAGGCCTACGAAATGAACAGTAATCCAAATGAGCCAGAAAAAGTGCCTACTGATTCCCCTGTAAATAATCGGCAAAAAACTCTACCATCTGAAACAGAAGAAATAATAAAAACTCTGACAAATCGCTCGAAAGCAGCAAAAACAGCAACTACGGCAACGGTGACCCTGGGTATTCCTGCATTCACTACTCCACCACCACAAGCAGTAAGGACCATTTTACACAGTGATGCCACTGTTATCTCACTTGAGTATAATTTTACAGGGTTTCAGGTAGCTGAAACTCTGCTAACAGCTTTGAAACAGTTTCTTGATAATGATACGCAAACAACAGCAAAGCTTGAAGCTGAAACTCAGCAGCCGCTCATTGACCATACTGCTCCACCTGAAGCTGTACCGTTCTCATTAAACCAGGCAGTAAATGCACATTCTGTAACCCCAGCAAATGCAGCGCAGTTTATTCCAGCTGATCTTACCAAAATTGATCCGGCTCGATTAAACGAAATATACGCACTAATGCGGTCATATCCTCCTCCAGAATACTCAGGCACTTCTAAAATTTATAAAGCTGTTGTAAAGAGCTCTATTTTAATTCTCCTTAATTCAACTTTTTGAGTGATTATCACTTGAATAGTAAAATTTTAAAATTTATTGGTTTTCTTGTTATAGTACCTAATTCACCAATACGAAGAAGTGATTTGAAAAGTCCAATAGATGCTATATTGTCTTCGTTTCGCTCTCGGGATATCTCAGAGCTGTCAATGGACGTAAGTTTTCCAATTTTCTGTCATTTTGAACAAAATTATGCGTCTAATTATAAACAAAAGATATAAATTCGAGTTCTGTGGATGAGGCAGAAGCAATAATGATTGAGAACAAAGTTAGGTTAGTCGCCTATCGCAGCAAGAAAGAAATTTGCAGCGCTTGAAGAACGGTGAGAGCTATGGTGATATGATAATGAAACGGTACACAGAAGAACATTGATGGTTTACAGGAAGTGAAATCGCTTCAAAGTTATCTGCAATCATACGAACAAAATCTGCAAACCAAGGAACTTTTACACGCAAGACAAAAACTGCAGATGATTCAGGTACAAAATATTCGCTTCAAAAGTACATCTAACGATTGAAGTTACACCTCAGGTAACATTTTTTTGACCAGAAACTAAAGCGTTAAAATCTTTTTTTTAGGCTGAACTAGACGAACAAAAAATGAAAATACATGAACAAAAAATGCAAGAGGAGCAGCTTCAATTACAGGTTAAACACTTGTTTATACTCTTTCAAAAAAACAAGAAACTCTCACCGTTGCTCAACAGCTAAAAGCTATAATAAAGAATTAGACTGTTTTAGGCAGCTAATCTAGAAGAACAACGAAGACAGATGGAAGAAAAATTACAGAGACAGTTGTATACCTGGCATGGAGCGTTTAAAACGCTTTCTGGGCCGGAAACCTTGGCAGCGGTACAGTTTACAAGAGACTTATTGATTTTTGCAGTTTGAAAGAGTCGGAAAAAACCAATTCTCTTTAGGACGTAGACGATTTGCTTGATTCTAATGGGTCGTCTGCTGGTCCTTCGTCAAAGCTAACAAAAGCAGAGGAAGAACAATTGATAATAGGAAATCCATCTAATAAGGCATCTTTATTAAGTGATCAAAGAGTTGCTGTTTTAACATTTTTCGATTTCAAAGACTAACGGTATAATGCTTATGTGATTGTTTTGTACAGAAATTGGAAATTGGTAGTTTTTTGAACAATATTCGAAGATCACCGACTCAAAAATCTGCTTCTACATTAAGCAATGACGAATCAATGTTTAGCAGCAACAACGATAATTACTTCAGTGCACCAACAGCAGTAGGTTTTAATTTCTTGATAACGCAAACGTGAATTGCTTTGGACACGAGTAACCTATCACACGAACAAATGTAATGAGTAATATGATAGCTTTAAAAGTAAATCTATCTCTTCTGCATAATTAAAATTGCAGCCTAGAGTTTCAGAGTATACCTTATGATCAAAATTCACAAGAATCTGTCGATTTAGACGAAAATTTAATCAGACGTGGTACAAGAACAGTAAGCAATCTTGAGCGTCAGTTACGATATGCTCCAGAAAGAAAATCGTTATCAGCGGCGCCACGGTCAGTAGTCAAGCAATTTTTTAGACTTCAGACGTCATTTATTGCCAATAATTTAGCAACAGCAGAATAGATCAGTGCAGTCGACTGTTCAACTGCTATTCTTATATTTCACATTTTCTGTTTATTTTTTATTTTTTAAACAAATTATCAATTAATATTTACATAACAGCTACTAACTCTCTGTCAAAATTGATTTAATCGATTTTTTCTCGACTGTTTGAACGATTTAGCGGCATTATCGACTCAGGTGAATTTTTTTGGTTTACATGAACTTTTCAGGAAAGCGTCTTTTCTTTATGATACAACTAACACTTGTCAATGTCAGAAAATTGATTTAAACAACTTGAAAGGGCGATGGTTACAAATTTTGGCTTCAACTAAACTGGCTAATTCACTCTACAAAGCCGTTGGCGTAATATTTGATGAAAATGAACCGGTTGAATTAAGCTGCACAGAACTAAAAGGTTCATTTGATACTAACTTATTCCGATCCTATTCTCTTTTCTTGTTCTGACAGAGATGATAAGCTATTTTAGCTATTTTAACGTTTCTGCGTAGTCAAAATTTGCGATAGTAAAAAAATTTTATTAAATTAACAATTTTTCAGGTTTACCTCAGCAAGTTTTGAAGTAACCGTTTAGTTTTACTGTTTGAAAAATAAATGTCTTCATGATTAACGAACATTTTTAATGTTAAAACATAGGATCATAGACTTGATAATTCAACTTACTCTTTGCAATAAATAGTTTGCTAACATTCAATTCGGCGTTGTGCGTACTGTAAAATTTTTATTTTTAGTAACAACGGAATCTCAGTATAATGGAGAATCTAAAGCATTATTCGTTTGGACATTTAGGACAGTAAACTCGGAAAGAACATTTCGAGTTAGTTAGACTGTCTTCCAAATACTTTTGACGGTTAAAGGAAATATAGTAAATTATTTCAACTTTCTTCTTTTTTTTTTTCAGATAACTGGAGACATCTCGAAAGGTGCTAACCGTAATCTTTATATTCACGGTGAAGACTTCAGCGGTCAAAAATTCCAGTTACCAGGTATTCAATATCATTGTCTTTATTTTTTGTTTTTTGAACTGCTAGATCAAGAAGAAATTTTGTTTTTCAGATCAAAAAATGTTTTAGTCGCTGCAAAACTTTTCTTTTTTCTTTGCATTAATTGCTGCAGTTAAAGAAAAAAGAAGACCACCAAAAAGTTGTGAAAATTAAATTAAACTTTGATCGCAATTGGTTTTCTATAGTGAAAAAGTTTGGTTTATTTGTTTGCAGTATGTGTACTAAGAACAGGAGGTATTAAGGATGGTGGATACGAATATTTGGTGGTTGTCAGTTCTGGCGGTAAATTTGATTGTCTAATCTATTTCTGAAAAACCAACTTTGTTTATTGTCACTTTGCATTTGTATTAAAAGAACTTTTGATTTGTTTGTTCTTTGCGAAGGACAAAAAAAAAATTTATTTTTAGTTGGGTGTGGCTCAGCAACATTACTTGTTCGAAATCCAGAAACGTTTTTTGGTCATCCTGATACCGAGCTCTTTCAGTTTTTACGAAAAGTATATTCATTGTTGGCATTAGTTTTTCTTTTAAAATATTATAAATGCTTCTGTTAGTAATAGATGACTTACCAAAGACAAACATCTTTCCTTTGTTAGAGAAATAACGTTTACTACAGGAAGTAGGTGCATTAATACACGAGGTTTCAGATTGTAGGCATTAGATAAAATGTTTTTGCATTAGTTTTTTATAACATTTAAATTACATAGCCAAATATATTGAGCAACAAAATGCAACTAGCTGAATTACCGTTTAAAAGATCAGCAAGATTGCTACTTTCAGAGAGTTGCGAGCAACAGAATGGAAGGGATGGATGTGGTAACGCATAGCAAAACGTGCTTAGCCTAAGCATTGGTCTGTTTGACAAAACTGTTTATATATCAACGTCATCCTTTTTGTAACACTTTGTTTGAAAATACTTTGACATTTCTTTTTTTTTTCATTATTGATGATCAAGTTTCCTTTGTCTCTGTAAAATTCACTTTTTTTTAAACCAAACACCAATAAAACATGTCCGGGTCTTAAACCTATTTGGGTTATAAAATGTCCCAACTGTCCTGGCGACAATCATCAAAACACTTGGACAAATCTGTTTTGTTCTCTTCAGCGGAGCGATAAGTTACGAAATATTTTTTGGTCTTTTACGTCTATTAGGCACGTCAAACAAGAAAAAGAAGCAGAAGCAAAGAAGCAATTCTATGAGAATAAATTTGGAGACTAACACCGATTATAAGTTAAAGTTTTTTTGCAGGCAAAACTGAAGCCTGCTCTGAATTTTTGAGCATATTATCGAAATTGTGTTCAACCAGCAGTTGTCAGTGGTTGACTTTAATTGAATTGTTTTGTTACCAGAAATCAGGAACCAATTTGATTTATCTGCTATTCAAGATGATTAGTGAAGGGAAAAAATTTTTTTCTTAACATTGGAAAAATAGCCTATCAAAAGGGGCAATAATTTTTTGAAAGAAAAGTTTTGTCAAAATTTTCAGGAACTTTTGTTGCTTTTGTTTTTGTTTTGTTGATGTTCCTTCTTCTTTATTTTATTTTTGTTTTATAACTTTTTATAAAGGTAACTGTTTCCATTGTACCTTGTAGAAATAAATTTTTTTATGTTGACTAAAAAACCCACTAGTTTTTGCTTTTGCCTTTTTTTTTTTTTTTTTTTTTTTTTTT